ATAACCGATCATCATGATATAACATCGCAGATTTTTCTATATCTACTATTGTAGTATAGCTATTTTTGCTGTGATGCGACACGAATATAGCCTTGAAATCATATTAAAAAAATTAAAACAAGTCTCAAATTAAATTCATGAGAAAACTCGTATAATAACACTGTAAATATTTATTATGATATTTAGCATGATATTAAAGTTTGAGTCAATAAAAAAATCTTAATTTTATACGTTTTCTCGAGAATTGAGAACATTTATTAGATATGGCAACGTCGCATGTTCAAGGACCGACAAGGAAGTTATTTTTCGCATTCTTGTCATTTCTTCGTGAGAGCCGCTTTACACTTTTTTTTTTGCTAAAACTGTACTTTTGATATATTTTCCTTTATAACGCAATTAAGCAAATATTTTTTTCTTTCATATAAATGAAAAATAACTTGACAAATAATTTGTTGAGCCTACATTCGTCTGTTCATAAAAATGCGACGTTGTCACGATCTAATTCCTCTTATTATTTATCACGCGTAGACAAGATACAGATTACTAAAGCCATCTATTGGAAAAATAATGGATTTCTTTTTACTACACCTAATATATAAAATACTTCGTTTTATTATTTTTAGATTTTACATAGCGATATACTTGCTTGAAATTTAGAGACATGTTTGAGTCTGTTGTTGACTTACATAGTTGGGATATAATTACGTTAAAGAGGTTGTAAGGCTAATGCAATATGTTAAGAATTACTTGAAAAAATTACAGATTATTCTAAATTGCGTGTGAAAGTAATACAAAAAAATTAGAAACAGTTGACCATCTGAATCAAAAGTAATTTCAATAAAAAATAATATTTTTGAAATTTGTACTATAATAGAAATATGAAAATTTATTAAGAAATCAATTTATTATGAAATAATGATAAAAATGTCAATTTTTTAATGTAAGTCAAAAATATTTATTTATAAATCAATTTAGTGAATCTCAATGAAATTTTGCATACGTCATTTTTAATACTTAAAATGTACAAAAATTTAGACTTTTGTTATTATTTAAAAAATTTTTATTTATAACAATAAAACTAATACCAAATAAAATAAAAATGTGTTGCTCAATAAAAACAGAACGTTATGAACACAACTTTCACGTGTATGTACAGGGTGTTACAGATACATACTAGGCAGTACGATGGGTTGCGCGTCAAACTTCGCAGGGGCAGACAAGGTTCAGTAGGTAATGATAGTGACTTTATATTATAAAATTTATATTACAAAGACATTAATTTATTGATCGATTTATCTCAAAGAAGTTTTGATTCAACGTAACTTAATTTATTGTTATTACAAAGTTTTATTATTTATATTATAAAACTTATATTATAAAGTCACCATCATTACCTACTGAACTGTACCTGCTCCGCAAAGTTTCCGCGCAACCCGTCGTACTGCCTAGTATATATCTGCAACACCCTATACATAGTGTGTTTAAAATGTAAATATTAATATACGTGTTTTATGCCCTTACAACTTCCTTAAAACATAAATTCTAAGAATAAATGAATAAAATGTGTTTCAATTTAATATATTATTAATGTTAATTTTATTGAACAAATATGTTCTGTACAACTAGTTACAGATCTTATGCTAAAAAGATACAGATATTTTGTATTATTTTCTCTTTATAACAGTTAATATCTGTTAAATCTATATATTGCACATGTTAAATATCACAAAGGCATTGATTAAACTAAGAGTGTAAAAGAGCATCTAATTTCAGTTAAATTTAATATTGTAAATGTATCAATTTTAACATAAAATTTATTTTTAAATTGAGTCAAAGTATTATGCTTCTTGTGTTAATTTTTTACATAATATTTGTGTACTTTCTAATATATTCATCTTATATTAAATTAACACAAAAATTTGAGTGGACTATTTAGTTTTTGAATGAATAATTGATATATTTCTGTTATATAAAAAATAATTCGCCTTCAATTATTTTATTTATAAAACGTAAGCTAAAGACTCATCTTATTGCTAAAATATTTTCACGATAATTCAAAATTGTTAATTAATTGAAAAATAAGTTTTTCGGTTTGTATATCAGCAATAAGGAATTTATATTTATAAATATATCAGTTGAATGGACATAACATGGCAATAACATTATCGCTTCTTTAATTTTACCCGTAATTTTATAAACATGCTTGACATTGGTTTTGTTATAACATACAAAGTAGAACAAAAACATTGAAAAAATGTTGATAAAACACGTTTTTCCGTAATGTTGACAAGAAAAAAGTGTCACTCTGTCCCGTGAGCCTGACACATTAATCCTATGACTATTCAGATTAAAAAATCTGTCACAGCCTTGTGCTGACCAGTATCATGCCGCTACCGAGGACAATCACTTCTTGATGGGAAGAACGGCTACAAGGATGGAGAAGTAAAATACTAGAACACAAACACAAACAGCACAGTCAAAGCCGACTACACTTATACTCAAAAATAAAACATGCAACACTCAGATCACAGCGAAACGAAATACGTCCGTCACGATCTCTCGAAACTGAGGACAATCGCTTTGTTATTATCATTTCCTAACTAAATTAATAAACCATACCAGCGTACCATTTCGTTTCCATGTAATCTCAAATATTATAATAATATTAAATTGAGAGATAAAATTAAGAATGCTTACAGCAGGAGGTATACAGTAAGTTAAGTAAGAGCGTGGTCGACCAGCGTGGTGTTGCACCATTTCATGTTATTAGCCTTAGAGATAGGTTCGAATAGTTTCTTATGATATATCTAAACCTTTATACTTTAATTTTGCTTGTCCTTGACGCAGTGTTAGGTCAGGATTCCGCGAAAACAGATTCACTATTTTTTTATCGTATTTTTTTGTCCACTTTGCATATCGAGCCACGTTCCGGTAAATCATTGACATTTTTTGCCACATTATCGCTGCACTCACTTCTGTACGAATGATTTTGACTTTTTCATATATTTAGCAGCCGCTAATTGTAACATTTTTGGATGAGTGCAGAGGAACACAGCTTCATTATGCGTATTTGGTACTCATGGCGCTTAATATGATTCTCTTAAGAAAGTTCATTGATAACTGGAATCACAAAGGTGCCCTCTATAGATGATAGATTTAAGGCGATATCTTTTATTAGCTTTGAATAAGACCGACCACGATCTTACTTGACTTACTGTAACATTAGCAATGAGTTGTTCGATCACAAGCATGCGATTAGTTCAGCGTGATGCCTATTGCACACTAGACGCGAAATGACGGATAATATTCAATAAGAATTCTGCTTTGCATCACATGCAAAAAAGCAGAGCTTTCATTGGATATCGCTTGTCACTCATCGTTCATGTAGTCCAATGTGCAGTAGACATAAATGTATTAAACTATCATTCTAGGGATCGTAAGTTAAAATGTTGTCGGCGATATGATACGTTTTTCAATAATTAATTGTAGTAATAATCTTAATAAGATGAAGAATAGGTATGCGAACAGATAAATATAAATTGAACTGGAAAAATAAAAAGTAATACTAACGAAAAAATTAATTTTTTGTTAGTTACATATCAACAAAATGAATGATATATTTTTATATATTTCTGTATTCTTTTCGTGTAAGAATCCGGTTAGTAAATTCGATTGAATTCTTACACGTTTTTCTGACCGGTATCCTTTTTAAAAGTGGGACATTTTCCCAATCCGAATTCTAACAAGATATTCTAATCAGATTCTAATAATAACTGAAAAAAACCGATCGGATTCCTACTTAAATTTTTACATGGAATTTTTATAATAGATCCTGGACGTTCATTCACTGAAAAAATGTATGTAATTTTACATAGAAGTTACACATATATAATCGGAAAATTACCTAAATATGACTGGATATTTTTAACAGGGGCTAGGGGCGGTTAGAAAAGCGCTGATTGGTCTCTCTCAAAGAGACGAATATTGTAATTAGAGCGTAGCTGCAAATACAGGGTAAAATACCGCTATATAATTTATTTGTCGTACGATAAATTTTTCAAACTTGTTGATTGGCTATAGAATAGAGAGATCCAAGGATCTTTATCCTATAGCTAATCTCTGTTTTACACACATTTGTCATACAACAAAAATGCACAAATGAAATAGTGGCATTGTATAAAATGTATATATTAGGTCTACAAATAAGTTCTGACCCTTTTTTTTACAGAAAATTGATATTTATTTATAAAAGAAACCAAAGCACATGTCAGTCTTCAAAATAGATCTCTATCACTTTCGACACATTTTTGCCATCTCTTGGGCAGTTGGCGAATCCTTGCTCGGAAGAATGATGGTGGTTTTGATTCAATAAATTTGGTTATGAAATTTTTGACTTCTTCGAGTGTTTGAACGTGTGTATCAACGAGATGGTGCTGTAGAGAACGAAAGAGGTGGAAATCTGTAGATGCCATGTCTGGAGAATAAGCCGCATAATGGAAAATTTTCCAGCCCAAAGTAGAGATTAATTTTTTGGTTGCTATCGAATGGGGCCGTGCGTTATCCTGCAGCAGTACCTACAGTATCACCTGATGAGTTCTGGCCGATATAGGGTCGTTTTTTATTTAAACGCATCAATCAAGTTGTTGACGCTCAGATAAGTCAACAACAACAATTATCAATAACAGTTGATGTGTTTTCCCCAAGTTTTAGCAACTCACTATAATACACCTTTCATATCTCACCAAATGCATAATGATACTTTTTTCGAGTGAATATTCGGTTTTGCAATTGATGTTGACGGTTCTTCAAGATAAACCCATGATTTTTTTTCTTTTAGTTCTCATATAAGATTTACTTCTTATCACCAGTTACGATTTAAATCGAAAATCTTTCTACTTAAATCTTGACAACAGGCAAACTGCTATGTCGTAGCGTTTCACTTTGTTTTCTGAGCTGAGCACGTGCAGGACCCAATGACCAGCCTTCTGTATTCTTTCCAGCTTCTCAATGGGAAATCGCTTGTTGAATGACACCCAGTTGTTCAGCAAGCTCTTTTTGTATTTGACAAGGATTTTCTTGCAACAGCTGATCCAATTCCTCGTCTTCAACTTTTTTTGATGCTCCCGATATTGATCAGAAAGATCGAAATTTTCCCGAAGAAGTATGGAAGAAGTGCGGAGATGGTACGGAAAAGATGCAGAAGATGCAGAAAAGATGCGGAAGAGATGCAGAAGGATGCAGAAAAAGTACAAAAGAGATGGAAGATGTGCAGAAGTGGTGCGGAAAAGATGCGAAAATGGTGCAGAAGTATTGTATGCGTAAATTGTCCTATATAGAACATTTCGATTTCTATAGTCTGAAAACCATCTGGTGTACTATAAAAATTTATAGTATAAGTTTTATGATGAAAAATTTTGTTATAATATTAATAGACTTTTCGATGCATGTAATTCCATATTGAATACTATAGTAAATGAACTATAAAAACGAGGATAAAATAATCGAATTTCAAGTTATCCAGACATGCGTGCGATTATAGCTTACAGTTAGCGCGTTAGAATATTACTCCATAGGTCTTAAGATTTTAATTCCGTCGATACTACATATCTCCTTCAAGTGCCATACGCTTACAGTGCGTAGGCCTCCCTCTCATATATCTATGCGCGCACACTGATCGTACACAAGGTATATGGGGACCTACAGTATAAATGCCAATTCTTGATAAAGCAATTTTTGATAAAGAGGTTTCCTGGGCAAGTATACTACTCAGTGGTTTGTCTTCCAAGAGAAGCTACAAGCGTACGAAAATTTTTCGATTCTGCCGGAGATCGAACCTGGGATCTCTAATATAGCAGACCAGTACGCTATCCGCTACACCACGCTCGCGCTCGATACTACATATGCATTTAAAAAAAATATATATATCTATATAAATGTACGGCGTATTTTAAGCATGATGGATATATGATATAAATATGAGAATAAAAAATAAACGGTTTATTAAGACCGTATATGTGAATGCACAACAAGTAAGAGTTTAATGCCAATTACGGTCCAAGCTGAATCTTAGACGCCTTTAAATAATTTTTATGTAAATTATATAAATACTAAATATGTCATTTAAACTGAGCACCAAATTGATTTACAAACGTAATTAAACTACTGTAATAAATATATAAATTAAATTGATAAGCATTTTAATAATTTAATGCTCAATTTGGCATCTTATTAGAAAGATGTGGATTTATTGAAAAACTATAAATAAATTTACATTACTGTAAATAATTTATGTAATAAAAATAAAAAATATTTTACTTTCTATTTCTTATATTTTATTTCTATTTCTTATATTCAAATATTTCTCATATTTGCATTTAATAAATACCTACGATAGATTCAATTAAATTTTCGATAAATTCTTATACATTCATGATTCTTAACTACGAAAAGAAACTATAAGAAATGATAATGTAATAATTATAAAAGGAAACGATAAAGAATTAGTTGTAGAGTTATGATATTATTTTGTTAATTTAACGATTCATAACTAGTGTTGTACCACTCCCGACACCCATGTTGTATCGTTTTTCGAGTCAAGCGAAAAGTGCGTTGGGACGACAAGCAGTTTTGCTGTTTATAACAAGAACACAGATTAGGATCTGGCGGTCGCTTCGTTCGGATGTGTTCCGACCACTCTTGTCCTTGCACTTATTATACCATGGTACCATGGTACGAATGTACCACTTATAGTACATTCGCTCTCATTCTTATTGTAAAATGCATTCTTATTGTAAAACGCTTAAATAAAGTCTTGCTTATCTTTTCTTAAAAACCTGTGTCACCTTATTTCCACGACTCGGAAGTGCGCATTTGCACGGACTTGCAATACGTATGCGCGGACGTAACATTATTATACTATAGCATATAATAACATCTAATAAGTTAAATCTTAAAGAATATGATAACACTCCAATATGAAATATCATATAGCATTTCGTGAAATCATGAACAAAATACATATTTAAAACAATAAAAATAAAATAAATATAAAATAAATATAAATAAAATAAATTTTTCTTACTTTTTCTATCAGATTTTGATATATATGGGATCTGTATATAAGAAATAATAAAAATTTTACCGAAAAATTCCTACAACGCCATGTATTTTCTATCATATATACACGATTCGCATTAATGACTTCACGAACCGAATTTCATATTCAAGATGATAGGATTTTTTTCTATCTTTTTCTATTAACTTTTTTCAGTAGAACATGACGTGAAATGAGACTCACCTTATATTACTGAAATATGTATCTTATATTAAAAATTATCAATCATGAAATATATATCTTATACGTTAAAAATTGTTCTGTTAATAACTTTTTAATGTACAGTGAACGAAGGAAGACATCAATGAACTTGATCTCCTTGAGAGTCAAGATTAAGATCACTCGGAGATCACATGGAGCTGACTATATAAAGGAAAAAGTTTATCTAGCCGATTCTTGAAGCGAAGCAATAAAGTTTCAAATCAATATTTTTAAAAAATCATAATCAAATTTATTAGTGGCGAGAATCTTATTCGAAATGTTCGATGAAATAAATAAAGATAACCATCAACACCTGTGCATTTCCTAATTTTTCGCTCTTATATTAGCGTTTGATTCTTATTAGCCTTAGTTGAATTTTTATCTTATTGTTTAAGATTGAGAGTCATATTTATATATTTATATTTATATATCTATATTTTTATATTTATATATTTATGTAATTTTGCTAATTATTATTATTTTTGAATAACTAAAATTAGATCTTAAATGAGTTTGAGTGAATGAAAACTTAATTTTTGTTGTAAATAGCCTTACTAATTTACATAATTAATAATATTACAAGTAATAACGTTAGAACATGTTAAATGTCCAACAATGCTAATTATGGATAATATTGAACAGTTTTAATTCTCAAAGAGAATACTGTATGTTTTTCCAAAAGTGTAGGTCAATAAATATTTACTATTTTAATATCGATTCGTTAAAAAGTATGTTGTAGATCAATGCACATTCACATATGTCTAACAACAGGTTTGTTCAAACATATGACGCAATTAAAAACAACCATCCCATCTGCAGCAATTCTGTGTTTTTATTTATATCGATGCTGTTTTCTTGTTCTTCAATGTAAATCATTTCAGCTACGCCCTAGTAAAAATTTTTTTAATAATTTTCATATAAATTGGAACATTTCCCAAAAATACTTAGAAATATTCAGAAAGTTTATATCTTTTCTCAGAATTTTTCGTATAAGAATTCTGAAATATCTAAGATTTCTTATCCCATAATTTTTAAAAAGTATTTTTAAATTTTTTAGATTTTATTATTATAACATTTTATCAGAAATTATATTATTTATATTCTTCGTTTTCTAATTTTTAGAAATTATATTTACAAAAAATCTTAAAAATCTTATGATATTAAGATATTAAGAATTAATTGAAGAATACTAAGCCTGATATTTCATGTGTCGGTCGATAAGACTTTTCAAGCTTATTGATTGACTGTAAAATAGAAAGATTCTCGGATTTTTTTGTCCTGCCAATCAACGTGCTTACAAAGTTTGTTGACCGACACATGATATATCAGATTAAGGCCGGTATTCATAATTCGTTTTTATTTCAAAACTATCTTAAGGAAGTACGATCGAAAAATCAAAATGTTTCGATCTATTTAAAAATTACACAGAATTTCAAACGAAACTAATACTAAATACTTAAAATTTCAAACCGATTAACCGTGTAATTTTTAAGAAAGAAAGAACTAAAATTAGAGTTTTATGCATGTTTTATGCAACGCAAATGCGTTGACCAATATATTACCAATATATTATAATTATTTACTTTTAAAATGCTTCGATCTACATAAAAAACATAAATAGTTAAAACAAATCTTTTTTTTACATCCTTATAAGAATTTTAACTCTATTCATCGTGTAATTTATTTGTATACAAACAAAAAGCTGATGAAAGTATACCCATATTTAAGCATTTAAAGAAATATACACGGAAAACTTGGCAACGCTGTTGACTTCCGACGTTAAGTTAGATTGCGGCTAGTTTCATCCTATGACACGTTCTATGTGTGATTGAATATATGTTTCTTGCTTATAACTTATTGTCATGTTTTTAACTTATGAAAACTATAGTAACTATTGCAAAAATGTAGTAAAATATATTTGAAAATATATATACTGAAAATATATATAAAAAATATGAAAAAATATTGAAAATATGTACAAAATATATGAAAAAATATTTGAATTATTTTTTTTAAATTCAGTACAGTATTTATTTTATTTAATACAACACTAATCTTATATTAAGTATTAACATTTTTATTTAACATTATAATTAAAAAATACGTAATGTTTTTTTTAAAAGATATTGACACAATAATATAAATATATATTAATAATGTTAATTTATAACGTTTAAAATATTAAAACGTAATTTTTATCATATGACTCTTATCATATAATTCTTATCATATAATTCATATCACATAATTCGTGATATTAAAATTAAAGCATTCTTTTAATATAAAATAATTATCAATTAGTTATGAATTAGTTATGAATTTGCTTTTATAACGATGCATCTTCGTATATAAAATAATCATAAAATACATATATGAAAGTAATATTAGGTGTACAAATAAGTTTCCGCCGTTTTTTATCAAAAATTAAACATTTATTGTGAAAGAATGATACATAATGTTTTATTGATGTAAGTCAAAATGTAAGTGTAAGTTCTTTTTGCGTTTGGCACGAATCTTCATTCAATAATGCTTCCAATTCCGCGTCTTCGTACACTTTCAGCCTTCCGCTACGTTCTTTGTCTTCGACAAATTCACCGTTCTTAAATTTTTGAAACCATTCACAACTTCTTTCACTTAAGGCAGCCTCACCATATGCTTCTACAAGCAAGCGATGAGCCTCAGCGGCAGATTTCTTCAAATTAAAGAAGGAAATCAAAAGTTCCCGCAAATGACGCTTATTCAG